TATTGGGGGCAGTCCAATAACTCTTGAAGTCAAACAGCAGGCATTATTTCCACTAAGTAGATATATATTCAAATTGAAATCCAGCATCAAACGCATTCATTGAACTGTCGATGCGGATAAAAAGAAAGAAGGAGCACAAGCAGAAGTGGAAAAGGGAATCTTTAAGCAGTCAAGCCTGGAAAAAAAAGGGGTTCCAATACTTTAAGGCATCCGAAATTTGTGTACACTTTTATGTATGCATGTGTCATTAGCTGCACGGTTTTCCTCTTGTAAGGTTCTTAAAATGTTTCTATACCTGGGGTGTATCGTAGTAGCTTTGAGGGAAACCAGTGTACAGTGTGTTCATTATAGCTCCGAGACTTCACTTTCTAGCCACCTGCTCTCTGCCCTAGCTCACAACCGCTACAGTTGCAGGGAAGATGTTGCTCCAACCTGTCGCCTTCCCGGCGAACATGCAGTAGGTTACCACCTGACATGGCAAAGGATGATATTAGTAGCAGCCCAGAGATATCCGATTTCCCCAGTATTTCCCCGTGTTTCTTGCCATTATAGTTCGACATGGCCTATCAAAACAAGTTTTCTGGAAACATGTTTGGATACTGCTTGTTATTCAGTTCTCTGACTTTCTGACTGATTAACACTCACTCCATGCGCAACAAGTTGAGTGAGATCGTTATACATATTGACCCTGCCAAATATTTATCATTGAACCTAGGTGTACTTCAGATGCTTCTAACATTGATGTCTCTGCAGACTATTATACTCTGTTTGGAGGGGAGAAGTATGACGGTAGAGGTGATTGTTGCATTGTTTACACTACGTCCAGCGCTGCCGCAGCAGAGTGCAGTGCAACAAGGCTTAATTTGCTCAGTGACTGTTGGTTGTGACAAAGTTTCTAAATGCTGTAACTCTCCCCCCAGGGTGTATCTGCCGTCTTCCCTGCTCTAATGCGGGTTATGATAGAAGAATGGCTGAGATGTTTACTCATGTAGCAGCACTACTTTACTCAATGAAACCTTTATGGGGAGACTTTAATATGCTTAGCATTAAGTGGCAGCCATTAACTTCCCCTAAGCGACTTGATAAGTTTATTAACGAGATAGATTTTGGGGTGGCTCCGACGTTTAACGCAACCAACTGGATACCACGGAAACTTCAAATCAAATAGGTTGCTGGAAGCAGTCAAACAAGAAAGTAGCTGCTCTGTACTGACGGGCAACGTCAGATCTTTAGTGAGAATTTTAAAGTCCTGTGCGGCAGACGTGAGATTCTGTGTTCTAATAATTCCTACCCAAACGTCAGTTTACACCTTGGCGATTCTGCATTGCAATCACATAACTCAGTGTGTGATTTAGGTACTGCCTACCTTCGGAACTTGACGTCTACAGAGTATGCCTGGTCTCTTGAATCTAAACGTAGGCGTTTAGTTGGCCTATTGCTCAAACGTGTATACACCATTGAGGCTAGGCTACTTGTACTTGCAGCAGTGATTCACCCAGCACCTGGAAATGGCACAGTCATTTTTGGCAATGTGTATGCTTTGGGTGGAATACGCACTGAGCACACCCAAAGAAAATTTGACCTCTGTGTAGTGGGCCGTCATGAAGAACTTGATTATGGAGGAAGGCTGACCGACTTTGGCTAAGGCGCCCGAAGCTCAACATGAACCTATTTCTTCCCATTTTGCTTGGCATTACTCATGCTTTTCGCTGTCCCACTTTTAATCCTACTTCCTCGTACAGTCTGCGCAATCGTGAGCGTACTTTACCTATTTACAGGTACCGCCTTAAATTTTGGTCACGGTTCTTTGTGACACAACACGGCAACCTGTGGAACAAGTTCTTACCGTGTATTTGCACCTACATGTCACCATCTCACTTCCAACGCCCACTTCCTTCAATTCACGGATACCCACCGATTCCTTGACAGTCATGTTGAGTCCACAGATGAAAAGTGTAATGGAGCTAACAGCGCGTTATCAAGGTCAAGTCATCATGTCCACTAACAACGCTATTGGTTGGAACTAACACAGTTGTGATGTAGCATCATGTTCACTCAACCTTTGTACGGATAACCCTCCTAACTGCTTTCCTGCATTATTTACATGAGTGCTAATCTTCGTATTCCACTGACTCAATTTTTCCTTGCCTGCTTACTGCATACAACTGTTCTATGGGTGCGTTTTTCATGAACACACCACCCTATTAAACTTGGACCGTTTCTCTTCATAATAATAACGATAATCACCGCTGTAACTGCTTAACTCCAGATAATATTCGTAGCACAAGAGAGAATTCTCGCTTCTTAATATTTCGTCGAATTCATTTCCCACACAATATTTATGATCAAATTAGCTATTCCACAGAGGTTTCTGCCCTGGATCGGTGACTGCTCAGAAGACAAAAATAAATTTTGTTGGTTGTGGTTTACTCAGCCAAAACGAAATCCGCATCTCAACATAGGTATCCCAGGCATAGCAATGTGCAGCATATTCGAGCATTTATAAGTCCATTTCTTACCGACAAAGAGCTTTTCCCATGTTTTGTCATTGGCCGGAAAAAAGTTGTAATTAAAGGGTTAGAAAACTTAAATGGGAAATTCTGACAAAATATATTCGGTGGTAACGTTCCGTAGCTTTCACTTTTGGTAACACTAAGCGGCTTTCTACCCCCGCTTTTTTCAGCTGAAAGGGGACCTCCGCACTCGCGTAGCTTGAGGTAAAATGATACAGAGATTCTGGTGTCTACGGAAGGGCTGAACAAATAAAAGGATCACAGAGACAGAATGCGAGCGTAATAAAATTTTCTTACACGCTATATTTTTCCGTGATCGACTGTTGGTTTTTCTCACAAACTTAAACTGCTTTCTGGTACTTTGTGGGTCACATTTTGTCGTTGCCCAATAATTTTTGACTCGAGAAGACACTTCCATGGCTCAAAGTACGAAACCGTTTGTTGGCTTTGGCCCATATTAATAGGACACCGTAAAGCCTTTAGGTTACTTATGGAAAAGTGAATGCTAGACAGATCAGCTACAAATAGCAGTCCAGTGATTACGTGATAGGAATCAGGCCCCACTAGTTGTTGTATTTGCGTTATCACGGAGGTAAGCAGCAGGACAAACGGCGACAAAGCAATAATACCGGGATTTTCAACGCTTATTGATACTTGCAGGACCATTGAACGACTTTCAATGACTGCCAGTTTTGTTGTTTACGTAACCTTACTGACATTGAAAAATTACAACAGGTTGAAAATTCAGTCAGAGTTTTCATCAGGGACGTAGCGCGATGAATAACGTTAAAACAGGAGGCTGTCGTCCATCCCTTCGCCGAAATATATACCGCTAAGGAAGGCTAAGGATACGACTTAAAGCTCCTGTAATACCTTACGAGTTGCATAATGTTGTAGGGAAATCCAAAAGGGCTGCTCATAAGGAGTGTGCACCATTTTTCGGTTGGCATCACCCCCTGGACTCGAACTATCTCCCTCATTTGAAAATAGTGTCAGACTCAAACTTACGCTGAAGCACGTGAAAGCCAGTGAAAGAACCCCAATCGGGAGAGAAATCCCGAACCCTTGGTTGTGCCTAACAGTAACCCATGCACTGCGGAGGGGCTAAGAGGTAATATCTTGGAAGATAAAAGCTTTTCAACTCAGCAACCCTCCAGTAAAACGCTTAATTCTGACAGTGTAATCCAGAATGCTGCCTATTTAGCACCAAAAGACACACTCATGTCACAAGCCCTAAAGAAGAAAATTCTGAGTTCACGAGAGGACGGGATTTTGTCAATCCACACACAATTATATACCACGACATTGGACCTTAACTTGCTGGTAGCAGCAAACATACTTCCTGTAGACTTATACTCACTCGCCTCTTGTCAACTAAGAGGGCATAGTCAACTCCATCACAGCTAGGGGCGAAATATCTGCCAGCAGTGTGCCACTTGCCACGCTTAGATAGAGGGGTGGCTTTTAAAACAGCACTTATGAAACATTAAAATCAACTAGAATTAAATCATCGATTGCCTCCAGTGGACATGGTACCGTACACAAAAACCATATAAACCTCGGATCAGGGGGCATCAGGTCTCGTGGCCGCTGCAGACCGAACCACTAAATTCCGAACTTAAAAAGTGATAGGGAAGCAAAGTATCGTCTAGGAAAAGAACCAAAAATCCGTATCTAATGGGTAAATCATGTGTTGATACCGATTTAGAAGCGAATATCCGTTACTGATTTAGACCGTAGCACTAGACCATGAAGAACACGAGATCCAGTGGTCACTCCCGACTTGAAGGCACCTTATCATCAACAGAATATGTAAGCAGTCTCATGTTTGCCACCCCTGTTTATCGTACAGCGAAACCCGCTCACCTCTTCGCCAGTCAGCCCTACGACTTGTGACGAAGACACACAAGGCATTATTACCTCGGGTCTCCATATCTACTAGGGATTGATGAGGCATGCTCAAATATACACCTGAAACACTGTTAAATGGCAACCTTGTCGCCCTTTTGTTTGTTAATAATCCTGGCCTTTTAAAACATTGGTCATCAGCGTGTCATTCACAGCAAACGAAATATCATTACTTCGGACCACAAAAGTCCCGGAAAAACTCGAACTAGTCCTGGAAACAAAGGTCCAGTTTACTTCTTTTGTGTTTGACGCACGCATCATGAAGACAAATGGAGAGCATGGAGGCCCGATAGGGTCTATAGAAAGGAAGTCAGGTTCTTATATCCCTGTCAGATTCCATAGCCACGTTAGCCCACATGAGTCCTGTTTACGATGAGATTGCACACAAGCTGCAAGTTATTCCGGACGCCGGATACACTCCACATGACCATTGGTTCTGTTCAGAACGTGGTCATCTCCTACCATGCTCTCTACGGAGAAAGATAACCTAAAATTACGTCAAAATACTTGATACAAAATGTGGAAATTTGCAAACATTTTGCATTTAAGGGCTTTATATTCATGAACTGAATACACACCATGAATTTATCATCTGAAGAAAGGCAGGAAGCGAAGAAGCGGATTGAAAAGGTAAGTTCTTTGATAAATTCTTCAAAATGCTACAGCTTTGCCGCCTCATGAGAAAGCTGATACTCACCAATCGTATACATGAATGCTTAGAGTTGGGCATATCTCTTTTATGCGCGGATACTTTTAAACCAGTGGACACACGCTCTGGAAATGGAATAGGAGCCAAGGTATATCAGAACAGGGTGCAACGCTTCGTGATGCAAACCTAAAGACATGAACACATAGATTGTCATGCCAAGTCGACTCTGTTACTGCTTTAAATCTTACGACGATCTTGAGATCACTTTCAAAATTAAAATCTGTATAGCCCGGGAACTTGGGCACAATCACGACTTATCCCTTTCTTGATGGATCCACAAATATCTCAGAAACTTGGGGACTGGTGGGGCTTGTGCCGTGAAGTTTTTATGTGAGTGAAACTATGGTGTCGTTTAGCTGATGGCTCCCGGTCAAGCACCCTCGCTATTCAGCACGCTGTAATGCTAGGTCACACCGCTCGTAATCGACCCTCTAACCAGCTAGTTGGAACGCACCGGTTATCTCAGCACGACCTCGCAAATATACTATTCCATCCGACTGCGCTATTGTGTTCTAAGAAACCATAGCTACCCTGTATAAAGTCAATTTGCAAGACCACTTCTTCACTACTAGTCTTATCAATGTAGAAGTGTACAGCTGGCGAATAAAATACACATTAGAGAAAACTGGAGACACTTTATAGGGGAAATACCCAACACAGACTATGAGGGAAAACCATACGATCAGGTACCAAATATCGGGATTCTAGGCAACGTGGTAAAGCAGATTAAGGTTGAACCGGATACCCTATTTCAAGCAACGCAATCGACCGTCTTACTCAAACCCGCGGCTAATGGATAAAACCGCCGTAAATTTAAGAAACTTAAAAGAAACAGACTTCAGCAAGCATTTTATGGTAGCCATCAAACTAACTTTTTCCGAATCAAGTGGGTGCAGGTATGGAACGGTTAAGAAAAAGAAACAGGAGAAGCATAAACTTCGGCTAAGTCTGCGAGATGTTTTAGCTCCACGGTACATGACTCTATTTTACAAAACACCACTAACGCTTGTGCCTTGAATCCAGGTACTGGACAACTTCGTAATATTTAAACATTCATTAACTGTGGAGGCGCAGAAGCTAAATCCCCATTGTTGCTTCAAACAAAAATGGTGGAGACAAGTAGATGTGGCCCTTAAGGGTGAACTGTTTTGAGTAAATCCATAATATTTTCTGAAGTTGGTTATTTTTTGGGTAAAATATGCACTCGTTAACCTAAGTATGTGGAAGGTTCAACTATATTTCCTTCAATATCCCATACCTTGTGTCGGTTGTCCAACCATGAACACACCAGCAAGCTGCCACTTTTTTGGTGGTTTAGTGGGCAACGGCCAACAACGGGTAGACACCCGTTTGTTGTTCCACCATAATTAACTGGCTATCAATCAGGATGACTGTTACTGTGTCCAATAGACATATGTTAGGTACAAGACAGCAAGAAACATGGGTCTCGTGTTAAGAGAGATACGGTAAACATGCGATGACTTCCTGAGTAGATAGTCATTCGTGTGACCGAGAAACTTTCCGGCTGGTTGTCGCCCAAAATATGTGCAGTTCCAGTGATATGAGAGGGCTCAGATGTATTTGCCACAAATGTGGAAGATAAAAATTTCCAGGCGAGATGAGTCAGAACTCGGACAAGAATCATCGCTCACTGTGATCATCCGCTTTGCAACGGTGAATAACCCTAAATACTGCTCACTACTCCAAAATCGCGGAAATTATAAGGCTATTTGATATGTGATGAGACTGGTCAAATTATATCTGAAAGCACGACCAAGTGTTTATTTAACTTTACAGTCTCTGGATCACAAAAATTACTCAGCGAAAGTGCTAGAATGTCCAAATTTTGAATTGTGGGAACTTTGTTGGAAGAACGCTTAGGAAAATATAAAAACCAGCTCCACCCTGAAACAAGCGTATGACCACCGTGGTATCCACGGAGAAGAACCTAGGGCTAAACTTCTCTAATTTTGCCAACTGTGCGGGGCGGGAACAAAGACGAATGCCATCATGCGCTTCCCAAGAGAGCAGCTCTGAGCACCAGGCCCCCGACTATTCCTCATTGTGTCCGCAACTTGCCTTAGACCACGCGTCGGCCTCTCCTCTGCTAGAAAGCCACGTAAGTGCTCTGAAGAAGGTTAAGAGGAGAACGACAAGATCAGCCGTCCGACTAGCAGACAAAATATACTTGCAACACCTCAGACAACCCAACTTGTTCACCCTTGGCTGCCAAGGGAAAAGAGGTGGTCCAGTAGCCTGTAAGATCATCCATCGAGTAGACCTCCCGAACGGGACAGCATTGTCTGTCCAAAGCCAACAGCCCCGTGAGAAATCGACTCACACACCCTACCGGTAGGGAAAAAACGAAAATTGGCTTCGACTCCTTTCATAGAGCGTGTGCCTTATGAAATGCATTGCCGAAAGAACTAGCTATAACCACATCAGTCGACAATTTCGAACGACTGTCCGAAAAGTATGTGAGTGCGAGTGGCCTTCTGGCCACGGTTACCGGTAGCATCTGAAGGTATGCCCATCTATCTCCCTGTTGCCCAACCTTAGCACCTGCAATGTCATACATTCTCCGCATTATTTTTAGTAACTTTTACTTCCACAAGCACTTTTTACTTCTTTTTTCACCCCATGTAATCTGGGCTTCTCGCTTAAAGAAATAGGAATTGGAAAAGGTTGTGCGATCCTACCAGCGGATCTGTTGCTCTCTCTGAAACAAACCTACAGTCTCCAAAAGAAAACCTTCAAATAGATAATCATCACCTCCAAAGCTATGGACAGGTAAACTGAAAGGGCTTCCGTGACCACCGTAATATGGCCGATCAAAAAGAACCAAGCTTCAAGACTTAGGAGTGATAGTTCAGAAACTACGGGTTCCCCTACTCACACAACGAATGTTGTAAAGTAACCGAGCCCTGGAAATTGGGGCATATAACGCCAACCTCCAAGGGGGTTAACGAAACAACCCGAAGAAGTGCAGACCGTCGACGCTTTTATATATTACTTTCACAGTAATGGGATCTTCAATTCATGATTGACTTGGGGACCACCCTACAACCGTCAACTTCTTTACGCTGCAATAACACAGGTGTAGAAAAATGTACCCTGAATTACCAATATGCTCACTGAAGTAGATAGGAGAACTAGCACTGTCAACCACTGAGGTCGAAATGACGTTATTTATCAGGACCCTGCTGAGGTATTCGATCGTATTGATCACAACTGCCCTATTGATAATTCAAAATCAATCAGGATAAAACCATCATCCACTGACTGAATGTCTTTGCACCTGCGAGGTCGTTTATTTAGTGTTCGAATGAGTTTCCCTGTGTCCAGAGAAACAGAATATCCCAGTAGACCCCCCAACATTCAGTAATAGGGCTTCTCTTTCTGTTGTATAAAGACGACTTGACTCAGTGGGTTCCTTCCGGAATCCTTTTTTCGGCAATGACGTGAAACTATGGAGAGAACTCAAAAGTTAGGAAGACAACGTTTCTCTACAGGAAGACTTGACTTCAAAACTGAGCGGTCAATAATGGGCTCTCATTTAATCTTAAAACACGCAGGGTGTTACACGCAAAACGTGACGCATGTCATCTCATAACCTCAACGGCGTGAAAACTGAAGCTTCACTGGCAAGAAAGAATATGGGCACTCTAATCACTATAGACTTGAAATCCCACGCCCACTGTAAACAAAACTCAAGTAGCAAAAAGGAATTTTTGGACAGTTCGGTAGTCGGCGTTTTCACCAAATTTTCTACAGTTTCGTACGACCTCGCCTAGAGTTAGCGACTATCGTCTTTCCCCTCTTCTCTAAAGAAGGGCCTAGAATGCACTCAGAGGTGCCCGGCCGAATCTGTTCGACGACCAAGATCTAAAACATACGAAAAATGACTGGTTGTGGTTGACCTATATCCCATGTAACATATAAGACTAAGGGGAGACTTGATAGTGACTCAAAAAGTTTTGGTCACTTTTAAACACCCATTCCATTATTCATTGAACCTTAGCCGTAGCACTAATCTTAGGGGACACATGTGAAAACTAAGTCTGGAAAATACAAGGTAAGATATCAAGCATAACTTCTGTTCCCTAAAAGGTGATAAACCCAAGAAAGCTCTTCCCAGCTACTTCAGCTCAATACTTTGCAGGCCGGCTTGATAATTATTTGAGGTGTAGGTGGGATCTGCTTAGAAATGACTGAATTTTCACATTTTATCCACCACATATTGCTCTGTCATTGATTGTAAACAGGTTGATAACCACAAGAAGTAGTGATCCACCAAGTTAGGAAGCAAAGGCCAGTTAAGCAAAAGCTTTTATTCCACCAACAACCATTTGAACTACTTGGATGTCCTCACACCTGCTGTTGAGTATTGAACCCAGAAGCGCTCACTTTACTTCGAGGTCGTTTGTTGCCTGGGGTATATAGCGTGTCGTTCGTGGATAATCGCTGGTTTCCCAAAGCAAATTCGAAGTCGTAAAGGCTTTTTCTCACTTAAGTTATTTGTTATTATATTAATTTCCTTTATCAGACAAACCCAATTTTTTTAATGTTTATGTAACATACGTATATAAATTTACATATGTAAGGTTTTAAAACCGTAAGCAGACATGTCTGCACGAGATTTACGCTACCAGAAACGATTAACAGCCTCACAATGTTTTTGAAAAAAATCTCTTCAACCTCATCTAGTTCAACATCGTCTTCTGACTCCATTTTCTCAACTACCATTTCGGTTGCTTACTGGTGGAGCAGAGTACTAAGGCATCTCTATCCCCGATTGATTTGCTGTCTTCAGGTTCTTTGAATCCCCTCTTAATTAGTGAATAACCCGTTTATATTTGAATCTTATGCCACTATTCGTCGTCATTGTGTTGAGTAAGTTACCGTAGGTTTGGAGTCGAACTCTTTCTAAAGATTGAGTTACTTTATATGCCTACTGAATTCCATTGAGTCTAACCAGCCAGTGGTTTCAGTTTTGTCACCTTCGAAAAAAAATGTGCAGCGAAATAATTTCCGATTTTGACAGGTCAACCTGTGCTGACTAGTCCACTTCTTGGCTTTTAACTATTACATCTTTCAACGTAATCTAGTTAATCTTTTCAGCTCCACACTTCTTACTAATCCCATCTTCACAGACAAAGCTTATATAAACTGTATAAATCGCTTAACGTATGAGATTCCTCAGTTTTCAACGTGAGGAGTTGATGCTAATAATGAGAAGTGAAAGGTTAGTGTGTAATTACAACAGTGCATCTAAGCCTTGGACATAACGAACTCTTAAAAATGTATAGAGTTTCTTAATTGTAACTTATGCTTTCCAGCATTCCTTGAAGTTCCAGTAGTTAACAATATGTTGCTTTGCACCTGTAGGTCATTTAGCTTACCTCATGTGCATAGTGTTTTACATGGATCACGAGAATAATAAATACATACATCTCAGTAACAAACTTGACCGGATGTGATGAGATTCAGTAGATTTGTTCCTTCATATTCGCGGTGGAAATAAAAGGACCATAACATGCAAATCCGTTTGATGATTTTAATCAATACTTTTATAGTAGTATTTGACTGATAAAATATCCAAAATGCTGGTATTCATAGCTTTACGGCACCTAACTTGAGTTGTAGAAGAAACGAGAACCAGAAACGTTTCAAACCCGGACAAGGGTGCATTGATCATATATTTGCCCTTCTATAGCTTCTCAAAGAAAACACACCGGCAGCAGACGCTTGCCACATTTCTTGAACTGAATGTGCCATTCGACTCTGTCGGCCATGAAGTGTCGGAGGAAGTGTATAATGTTAATCAAAGCTCTCTCATCGGACTCGCACAGCCGTGTAAGTGCTTGTGGGAAGCTGTAATGTGGACTGACGACAACTAGTGGTGGCCTCCAGGGATGCCTTTTTTCATAGTTGCTGTTTAATTTGGTTATAGACATACTAATGGACGTAACCATAGGTACGTCTGACTTCACAGGGACTAATCTAATCCCTGGAGGGCAGCGGGTTTACTTGGAGTATGCAGACGATATATCCGAGGTCTCTGAATGTTGATCGAAGCGATGTACAGAGGTGTCGACTGCCTGGCTAGGATCCTAGAAGCAATAGTAACCCGTTGTTGGAGACTTGGTGGAATGGCTGAAAATCAGTACATCAAGTGACAAGCCAATAAAATAGAAGATGAAGAAGGAAAGGAAAATCGGTCAAAGGGAGTTAAAGTAGGAAACGGAAAAAGGAAGAATGAGATGATGAGAATGGGCATAGCGGTTAAGATAATCTGTACATACATCTGCACCAAGAACATCGACTTTGGACCATATCATTTAGAGTTTCTAACTAGTTTCTCTTATCCCGTGGACTCCAACCGGCTAGTTTGCATCGCCTTATATGGCTCAGATGGACAGTCAATGACTTCATGCATTGATGCCATGTTTTAATCTGGCCGCGCCGGGCTTTTTACCAGCCTGAACCTACTTTGGCCAACATTGTGGGACGAAGCACACGGTGGTTAGACGTACGTAACACATATCCCAACCAACTCAGTCGATCAGGGTTCACAACCGCATCAACTGTCTTACATCTGCCTAAAACTCTGCGTCTGAGTTCTGCGTTACGTGATGACACCACAAAATATGGCCTATGCTACGAAGGCAACGGTGACCAAACACCTTAAACCTCATGTCTTCTACCCTGAATGGTCATGTTTCACAGCCATACGGCAGAGCAAAGCAAACTGCAGCGCAGTACACTCGACCCTTAATAGACACTCGGATATCGTGGTGGCGCCACAGATAGCGTCTTTACGTAACAGAACTATGTCATCTGCGTATTCTAGGTTTACTAAAAATTCTCCTATGTTTGAGTCAATCCATGTGTAGTCAGATGTCGAGAAGAATACCTCCGTGAGAACGTCTATGATAAAGGTGAATAAGAGTGTAAAGAGTAGGGATTCTTGACGTACACAGCTCACCCGACATCTTACCATATGCTTTAAGACGCCCACAGGTGTTCGAGTAAAAAGCCTTCAATAGGGTCATGTACTTACTCCATACCCCTTTCAATGAGACCCATTGCCATAAGACTGCTCGACCAACGGAGTCGAATGCCGCCTTCAGATCAAGAATTACAGCTAGTGTCGAGCGTCGGTAAGCATGGCTGTGTTCCAGAGCCTGGCGGCGTTCGAACCCACGGCAGGTCTGAAGCCTACCTGGTTTTCTCGGGCTTGCTGTTCCCGAGCTCCAGTGAGGTGTCTAATGATTATAGAACCTAGAATCATGGACACTATGTTTTCCAGGCGGATTTCTTGGTGGTTGTCACAAGGACTTCTCGCCATTCTTGAAGACTGGGAGAGAGAGACCAGTTAAACTGTTTCTTGAATTGTTCCTTTTGAGTGAATCGTCGCCTCATCCTTCTCTACTATAGTCTCACTAACCGTTGACCTTTTCACCCTGGTTCCCTAGTAAGTCTAAATAGTTGTCTACTGTTACCTGTAGCCTCTGCCTTTTCCATCTCTAGTTTTCGCTGCCACTCGCTGCTCGCAGTCATTGCGTAGACTTTTGTCAGTCTACATTTGAGTTGCATTCGCTCCGCATTGTACTCAGAGCCTGCATTGATGCATTCGCATGCATGCATAAATTCATAAGAAGCTACAGATATCTTTTTAACCACTGTTTGAGAGTCGGCTACGGTCTTCAACGCTATTTTCACAGCAGACTGGAGATGACACGAACTTCTGAATGAGTGGTAGTGTTCTGTTCCGATAACTACCTAGTCAGTTTTTTCCTGAAAACGACCTTAGTACCCTCATTGTCGGGCTGCACTCGTGATGGTCTCGTTGCTATAGTTTTTCTACGGTCATTGAGATCCAGACATACGTACTGGAACCAACGCTTGGTCGCTGTCAGAACACGTGCTCCAGAAGGAGCGCCAGTCTTCCACCGACCCTCTCCAGCGATGGCTGATAGCAATGTGTCTATCTGTGTCCATCATCGAGTTAAGCCCGGTGGACGCCACGTCAGACAATGTCTTTCTTATGTCTGGAGTTTGTGTATGGTTGTAGTAGGGGATCACCGTTATCTGTTCGTTCTGCTGGATTTCCGAAAGTGGCACGTAAGTACGTTTCTGCCTGACTCAGCCTACCTACTTGTGCATTGACATCAGCAACAATAACAGCTACGTCTGAATGTTTGGGTTTCAGAAGGAGGCTAGAAGATTTTCGGCCAAACTCATCGGAACTTCAGTCACTGGGCGCATAAGCAGAGATTACAAGTAAACAACGCGAGTTTCACCATTCCTCTTAATTGTCACTGTGCCGTCCAGCGCATAGGTGACTGAACTGGGATCCAGCCCCAGTAGTAAGCTTTCTGCCCTAGTGCTTAGTGCCTACACCTACAAGACCGCAAAGCTAGCCATCGAATCTCCAGAAACTCGAAGGGTGAGTTTTGCGGATTGATCATATTGACTGAAAGAGGTTAGGTGAATAACTACATTTGGGACCTGTATTCGTGTCCGACAAACACGGCACGTGTTACAAGTTGCTAGAGTTTTGTCCAACTTGACGGAGGGTGTGAAGATTGAAGACTTCAGTGTGTAATTTGGAGCATTGTTTGCTTTGGAAACCTAATTTTACTCATATAAAGGAATAATGTGACCAAGAAAATCCAATATATTAACTCACATGTCTGCTCATTTTCGGAGTACAACGATGTGAAACGCATTCAGTTAACTTCAGTTACGTATAAATATTTCATAATTCACTGAAAATACTTTTTTCTTAATCGTGTGTTTCTATTATTCTTTATAAGGTGAGATTTTGACGGCACGAATGAGTATCAAAGAAGGTTATCTTGCCACGTATAATGGTGTTCAGTTGATGGGGTTTGTTTTGGGTCTTTGGAAGTATTTTAAAAAATTAGATGGGCATACATACTGTCTTTGTACATATCTGAGTCATTTATTAGGAAGAATTGGTTTAAACCCAGTACGCAGGTAGATGTTCTTTTGCGTCTGTTTCAATCGCTAGCTATCATGGAGGTTAGTAACCTCAAAGCCTATCACATTTATTTTAGGTAATTCATGCTGCTATAGGATTAGTTAGATCTTCTGTCATCACAACTCTAATGCAGATATCTTCTCGATTATTGGTAGTATGGGGTATTTTGTACATCATACCGGAAGTAAGCCATTTCATTAATAATTCGAACACTTTAGGCAACAAATAGTAATTTTGGTGTGCCGCTAATAGTTATATCATGGTCGATTGCGGAAATGGTTCGATACACATACTATATGGCAGATATTTGTGGTGTGAAGTTGTACTTCTTAACATGGCTAAGGTTGTAAAACTTATCATTAACTTACTTTAAAAGGTATTCAGCATTCATGGTTTTATACCCAACTGGGATCTCTGTAAGTTGTCAAAGTGCACTTTAAACTGATTGTTAAGGGGGAAGTCCTGCTAATGGTGAGTGGAATAAAAAGACTGAAAGAAACTGGTAAATACTCAGTTGATCTTCCAAACGCTTCAAACTGTTCCTTCAGTTATCTGATCGCTCTAGTGGTTACACTTGTGATCTACATTCCGGGTAAGTTATTGTAACTGAAATTCTTACTTTTTATTCTACAGGATCAAAGGTCATGTATACACACATGTTACGCCAAAGGAAGAAGACAATACAAAAGAGTGACTGAAATTTTTAAAATCATGTTACCCCTAACTTTCTTACATCAAAATAAACTACCGTAATTACTAGCAGTCACTTGTTGTTCTCCCAACATATTGTGAAGTTTTACTGAAAGCCCTTGTTTGGATCTTCCCACCACCAATTGAAGTTTATTTTCATGTAAATTTATAGTTCATGTAACTGATGAGCGGCAAGAAGGCACGTGAAGATTATTATGAGGTGCATACCATGATTTCGCGACTTCGGATTGTATTGTACGAAACGAGAAGAGTGAGATGCAGGAAGGAATATTTATTATTGACATCTTGTACAGTAGTGTCAACCGCCCTCACAACTCTATCAGCACTCAAGTTTCTTCTGACTGCTATCCATCTCCTTCATCATTACCTTCTAATCTTCCTTCACGTCTCTCAACTAACTATACTACATCATCTTCAATTTCTCCCAGCTCTTCAGCCCTCGACAACGATCTGAGTCCGTAGAACAGCATCCCTGGTCTCCTTAAACCACGCTCCAAATTACATATTAGAGCCTTCAATGTCCGCACCCTCCATCAAATTGGTCAACAGGCTTCGTTGGCAAAGACTCTAGCAACTCGGGCCATGGATGTGTGCTGTGTTTGTGAGACACGCGTACAGGACCCAAGTGTGGTTATTCACCTGACCTCTCCTGACCAATCTGGTGAATCTGCAAAATTCACCCTTCGAGTTTCTGGAGATTCGATAGCTAGCTCTCGCGGTCTTGCAGGTGTAGGCATAGCATTAAGCACTAGGGCAGAAAACACTATTAGACTGGATCCCAGTTGATAGTCGCCTCTGTGCTATCCGACTGAATGGCACAGTGAGAACTAAAATGAATAGTGACACTCGCCGTTGCCTCTTTGTAATCTCTGCTTACGCACCCACTGACTGTAGTTCGGATGAAGTGAAAAACGAGTTCTACCGTAAACTGTCTAGCCTCCTCTTGAAAGCCAAACGTTCGGACATGGTGGTTGTTGCAGGTGACTTCATCACACAGGTGGGTAGACTGAGTGAGGCAGAAAGGCACTTAAGTGGCACTTTTGGAATCCCGGTTGATTGTACGTTGATTGCCTACTACAACTATGCTCGGATAATCGCCTATTTTGAGCTAGCATAAATTTCAGACATTATCTGACCTGGCGTCCATCGAGCTCAACTCAGCGATGGACACATTGCTGTTAGTCATCGCTGGAGAGGATCGGTGGGAGACTGCTGCTCCTTCTGGAGTACGTGTTTGGACAGCGATCATGCGTTGGTCCGAGCAGGTACATCCCTGCGTCTCAATAGACGTAAGATAAACTTGCGAATAAAACCACTACGAGTACTGCTGGACAACGAAAACAACAAAGCCGTGTTCAGTGAGAAGTTGGCTAGGCAGTTATCGGAACAAAAGACTATCTCTCATCCAGAAGAAGCTTGGTGCCTTCTTCAGTCTACTGTAAAAGCAGCGCTGATGACCGTAGCCAACTCCAAAATAGTGGCTAAAAAGACCCAGTGGAAATCAGCAGCTTCTTCCAAACTAATGGATGCACGTGAACGCATCCTTGCTTGCAGGCTCTGAGTACAATGAAGAGAGAGCGCAACTAGAACATAGACTGAAAAAAAGTCTACGCAACGATCGTGAACAATGGTGGGCAGTGGACGCAAAAGAGGCGGAAAAGGCAGCAGTGATTGGTAAGAGTAGACAGTTATTTAGACTTATTAAGAAAACTGGGGGGAAAAGGTCAACAACAGTTAGTGAGGCTATAGTGGAGAACGACGGATTCAGGATGCACACGCAGGGGAGACGACTGGAATGATGGGCAGAACACTTCAAGGAACAGTTTAACTAGCCTTCACCCTCCGTTGCGTTGCGTTGCCCGCTATCCAGTCGATCCTGAACAGAACATTGACATAGATCACGCAACACTTGCAAAGTCGACAAAGTCATAGATAACCTGAAACGAGTAGGATGGCAGGAACAGACGGAATAACTCCAGAGGTAGACAGAAATGGTGGTGCAGTGCTCTTAGTCAGGTTAACGGAAGTGTTAGGAATCAAATATGATCCCCTGTTACTGGTCTAAATCACTGATTATCCCAGTCTTCAAGAAAGGTGAGAAGTCCTCTTGTGATAACCACAGGGGAATCAGCCTGACGAACATAGTGTCCATGACCCTCGGTTCCGTGATTCTTCGACGCCTAAGTGAAGCTCGGGAGCAGCAAGCCGGAGAAAACCAGGCGGGCTTTAGACCCAGCCGCGGGTGTGTCGACCAAATATTCACACTGCGCCAGGTTCTGGAACACAGACACACTTACCGACCAACACTAGCTGTATTTCTCGACCTGAAGGCAGCATTTGACTCCGTTGATCGAGCAGTTTTATGGCCATGTCTCTCACTGAAAGGCGTGCCTAGTAGGTACATCACCTTATTGAAAGCTCTCTACTCGAACACTTGTCAGCATGTTAGAGCCTATGGCGAGTTGTCCAGGGAGCTATACTCATCAAGTGGTGTCCGTCAAGGATGCCCACTATCCCCATTCTTATTTAATTTTATCATAGATATTCTTATGGAGGTTTCCCTCTCGTCACCTAATTACAAAGACGTTGACCCAATCACAGGTGAATTTTCCTTAGATCTAGAATATGCAGATGACATAGTCCTGTTAGGTGAAGACGCTGACAAGATGCAGAGTCTTCTGAACACTTTGAGTGGGAATTTGAGAATGTTTGGGATGCGATTTTCACCACCCAAATGCAAATTTTTGCTCCAGGACTGGTCTTCAGCGGTACCGCGGTTAACAATAGAGAGTGAAGTGGTTGAGTGTGTTGACCACTTCACTTACCTGGGAAGTAGGATCAACCCTGGTGGGTTAGTTGCCGATGAGATTTCTGCACGGATACAAAAGGCTCGATTGGCTTTTGCCAATTTGCGCCACCTATGGCGCCGCCGTGATATTCGTTTGTCTATTAAGGGTCGCGTGTACTGCACAGCAGTCCGCTCTGTTCTACTGTATGGCTGTGAAACATGGCCATTGAAAGTGGAAGATATGAGGAGGCTTCAGGTGTTTGACCACCGTTGCCTTCGTAGTATAGGACGTATTCCGTGGTGTCACCATGTGAGTAATGCAGAAGTTAGGTGTAGAGTTTTAGGGAGAAGAGGTAAGTCAGTCGACGAGGTTGTGAACCTTCATCGACTGAGATGGTTGGGACACGTACTACGTATGCCTAGTCACCGATTGCCTCGTCACACAATGTTGGCTGAGGTGGGTCCAGGCTGGAAAAAGGCCCGAGGTGGCCAGACTAAAACATGGCACCAATGTATGAAGTCTCTGACTGTTGGTTTAAGCCATGTAGGACGATGCAGACTAGGTGGTTGGGGTCGGCGGCACAAGAGGAACCAGTAGTTGGAGACTGACTTTAGGTGATATGGCTCAGAACCGAAGTCAGTGTATATACACACATACATACATACATATATACATACATTATTCCCATCTGAACGACGCTATGCCGAATCTGGTCATTTTTTCATTCTTCCTTTGTCTCTTTTCGGACTTTCCATTTCTCTTGACTGAGTTTTCTTGTCTTCATCTTGCACCTCACTGCCTTTTTACTTGATGTACTGATATGATCTGTGGTAACTCGGATGGTTACGCAGTAATGCCTGGTCCTATATTGATATTGATGATGATGAAATGTTGAACAGTCATTAGCACAATGTGCTTCATTTCCTCTTCTGCTTCTATCCCGATTTACTCTTAATACGCCCACATTGTCTCTTGCGTTTCTCTGGGCAGAATCTTTACACATTGCTAGTAATTGAGTATGATTTCAGCCGCCCTCTCACCATATACTACTTATATCCATTCTAATCTACAGCGCCTACTACAATATCTTTATAAGTGAAACCTAATCATTGTAGTGGAGTATAATTCCATGTAGGATTAGTTCATTTGGTTTAGCGTAGTTGTACAGTATCCTACTTGATATCTTAAGTATATTTATTGGAAACCTTTGTTAGATTGTGAGCAAACTAAACATTACTGAGCTAACACTAGATCGCAAACTAGATTGATTAGCTATTTATTCATTTACTGTTCTTCCCTAAAAATTATTAATTCGATCCCGTTAAGTCTGTGAGTAATCTACAACACTAACATTGTGTAAGATTGTTGAAGTCATTTCCAAATTTTTCTCATATCAAAGAGATTATTAAGGATACCACTGGCGTACATATTGAAATCAACAACAAACAATCTGTCAAAATATATAGACAGACATAAGTGAGCAAGACAGAAGTATGTGAACATGGAGTCTGTTATCAACTGGGCTTAGACAAGACAGAGAAAACCAATGTAGAACCCCGAACACAAGCGCATCGGATCACGTTGCCACACTCCACAAACACATACGAACAGGTGGACGAAAAAAAACTGGTATTAAAGTAAACAAAGGTTTATGGGTTGAGAAACAGTTTGAACATAACGTTTACTCGAAATAGTCAAGCCTTAGATGTCAAAGAGTGAATACACCTGCGTATTTTGAACATTTTTATCAAGTCTCCAAATATTAATTTTATGGTCTCTTGAACCCCAAACATGTGGTTTATACCTCCTTACACGGCCCAGACCTTGAGTCAGGGATTTCATGTACTGGTTCCGCATCTTTATTCAGCCATTCTGAACCTTCTTTCAACCTTGTAGCATCGCGCATTGAAGTAATCCGTGACTAGGTATGCACAGCATATGTTCAAGCCACCTTAGTTGCTGAAGGTTCACAACCACATCTACCGACTTTCCTTGCTTGTTTCGCCTCACCTCAACATCGCTAACATGGTGATTCTACTATATGCATAAACAATAGTACAAAAATATCTATGGTCGAAAACCTTCAACCGCTGTAAACGTTTTAATCTTAACAGCCATGTCTCATAGCTGTATAACAGGACAAAACGAACTCCAGTGCAGTATACTCGTCCTTTGATAAGTAGCAGAATATCTCGGGA